ACTATACGGAATTTGGTACCTATACTGTCTCATCCCATATTTTCTTCTTGGACAATGCAATTATTATAAATCTGATTTTTAAATAATATAGGTAGGTACCTACTTAAAGATCAAAGTACTCTAAAATTCTTGATTTTTTGATGTGAAAACATCTTATGTGGCGTTCAGACTTTTCCGTTTGGGCAGTGAATTTTTTCGAGCGTTATTCGAGCGTTACCCTTTTCGCGTAACGCTAGCGCTTCCGACGTGCTGATTGGCGGAGACTCGGTGCGACGCGACGCAACGATAGGCCGCCTGTGCTCAGGGGGCGTGGCTTCATTACGATCACGGACATCGAACATAGTGCGGGCGAGATTGTCAAATTAGTTCATCGTTGACAACCAACGTGAACAGTTAACTAAAAATGTATTGTATACATATAATATTACTATTTGATCACATGCGCAGGCGCGCAACTACGAACGCGTCGTACTCGTACATCGTCCGTTGTCGCGCGTTGGTAGTTCTCGAGGGCGTTTTTCGTTGATAAACACTATAAACATTAAACAATAAACATGGTCCAGGGCATAGATAATATATTATCTATGGTCCAGGGCTTGAAAACGTTATCAAAATTATCGGTTAACGCTAGGAAATTCTATAACGTCGGTAAACGTTGAAATTTTGATAACAGAGAAATTCGAAATGTTTGTTTGCTAAGCAATAAAGTAAACATTTCAAACGTTATGATCCAGCGTTTTGTCTGTTCAGTAGTTCAGTTCCAACAACCAATACCTACCGTTGTTGAATTTGCTTAAACTTTTTTAATCAAAAGTACCTACCTATATTTATTGATGTGAAAATCGTTTTGCATGACAGTGTAAATTTTCGAGCGTTACCTTTTTCGTAGGTAACCGAGCAAATTTTCTATGGAGTTAATATTTTCGGACTTGTAATTTTTTTTTTCAAAATTTTTCGAAAAACACCGAAAATTCTTTTGCCACTAACAGACTAATTATGACGTCAGACTGGGCGTCAACCTTGGGGGTAGGTCAAGATCGGAATTCCTGCCGAGCGAATTTTCTATGGAGGTAATATTTTCAGACTTGTGATTTTTTTCCATATTTTTCGAAAACCACCGAAAATTCTTTTGCCAATAACAGAGTAATTCGGACGTCAGTCTGGGCGTCAACATTGGGGGTAGGTCGAAATTGGAATTCATACCGAGCGAATTTTCTATGGAGGTGATATTTTCAGACTTGTGATTTATTTCCAAATTTTTCCTTCAAATTCTAAGCTCATATAATATATGTTTTCACATCTTATGAGGGTCGCTTGAGACACACGCGTTTTTTTTTTTTATTATCTAAGAAGTGTCCTGTACTCCTGTGGAGAACAAACTTCTGCTTTTCAAACAAGAAAAAATTATTTAGATCATTTTTCTGAAAATGTTGACTTATTGTTATAAAATTCTAAAGGGTAGTTTTTGAGTTATTTAACTTTGTGTACTAAGGATATAAGGTTTGGAAGGTATGGAGATTATTGTGATTTGAAAATATTAATTATTAATATTCTACTATTAACAATAATAATTTTTAAAAATGGGCCAATAGTATAATAAATACTAGAACTAATATAACATGTAGTTACTTTATAATTATATGAAATTATTTTTAATATACTATTATCATTGGTACAAGAATTTTAATAATTACTCGTTACAAATTTGAATTAGATAAATCAAGATTTTTAATAAAAATTGTCCGCTATAAATAATTTACAGTAGGTAGGTACACAAAACAGAAATTTGCAAAGGACACTCCTTAAGTATAGCACAAAAAACCTCAAGGACTTACAATTATTTTCTTAAAGTACATTTAAATATTTCAAAAATCAGATTTTGAATAATTACATTATTGAAGAAAAACTGGGAGTGAGCAGGCTTGTTGAATCTAATACTGTGTATACAGGGCAGGCCCTATTTTTATGTGCACCACGGTCACGACACACAATGTGCACTACGAATGTACAAGTGCATGTGCACTACGGTCTACACAACAAAAATTAAATAATATACCAGCTACTAGGAAATATGAGTATTTCCTGATTTTTTTTAAATTCTGAGCGGAGCGATGAATGTATTGGTTTTACAATGATGTGTGTTTTTATATTTTTATATTTTTATATTTTTGTGTCTGTCATCACGTTTTGGGACAGTAAAAGTGCTTCGATTTTCTTCAATAGTACCTTTTCTGATAGGAAAGTGAATCTAGTTGGTACTTTGGGGGGTCAAAAGTAAACATTTTCCAGTAGTTTTCACAAGCGCCGGGAAAAACAACATAAAAATTAAGGAAAAACGGGAATTTTTACGCAAAATCGATTTTCCAAAAAATCGAATTTGGTTTTTGGTGTAACTTTAAAACAAATGACCGTAGATACATGAAATTTTCACTGGTTGTTTATATTTGCATTTTCTATACACGATATTTTATAATATTCTATATAATATTTTGATTTATTTTGAACTGTTTAGGGACATTTTCATTTTTCATTTTTTTTTAGTTTTTTTTCTAGAAATATCAATAAAATTTTATTTGTTGGTTGCGAAAGCTTGCGACAGCAGAGCGACACCCACTTGCCCACCTTTTTTTTAATTTAAATTTATTAAACTATAATTATTTTTATCAATTTTCTCCCGAGCTCCGCCTGTTGTATAACATTTCGTGGTTAACCCCCCACGCCCTCCAACCTTGTCGTGTCCAGTCCGTGGCTATAACCATAGACCTTAAACTGAAGTATAAGGTCTATGGCTATAACCACGTTTAGCATTTAGTATAAAAAAAACGCTTGACAAGTCACTAATTTCACTAAATGTTTATATTAGTATTTCCTATACACCATACAATTTTGAAAATATTTTGACTTTTTTTGAGCTGTTTACGGACATTTTCAGTTTTTAATTTTTTTAGTTTTTTTTTCGATGAATATCAATAAAGTTTTATCTGCTGGGCCAAAAAGTGTAAAAATTTGATACAAGGCTCCTGATTTATTGTTACAATAGCAGTTGATAAATATTAAAAATACATAGGCACAATTTTTTTTTAAAAGCATTTAAAGATCGAATTTTGACCAAATTTATCAAATTTAAAATTGAATAATTATTTTGTAGTGAAAAATGTATAAAATGTTCAAATTTTATATCTTAAGATTGATAATTTAAAACGAAATTCCATGTAGTTGATTCTGTTACCATAAAATCTAAAAAAATACATAAGCACAGTTTATTTTCATATTCATTTTAAGTTAAAATTTGGATGATATTACATAAAAAAAAAACCTAGAATAACAGCTATTTTAGTTATTTTGTTGTGATTGTATAATATTATTCGTGGGTACTTGAAACTTCGAAAGTACACTTTTATATACCTATCTATGATAGTATCAGGGTTTGTTGTTGAATGTATAATGAGTTATAAGTACCTAATGGATATTGTGATATGATTAATTTGTAATTTATTATAGGTACTTATTATAGGTCAATTTTTTCAATACCATAGATAGGTAGGTATATAATATGTCTTATACCTAGACTGACATACCGTCTCCGCTCAGAATCGTTTTTCTTATACAATGATGATTGATATTATATCATTGAATTCAAATTTAATACCATCCATTATACAGTGACCCACTTGTAACCTACTGTACAGCAGAGCACCTTTTTTTTTTATTAAGTATTTAAGTAATTAATTATTATAAGTTGTTTAATTTGTACATTTTGAATAAAGAAAAACAATTCTTGCATATTTTTTGCATATTTTCATGTTTTAATAATAAATAAAACATAATACAGAATTATTAAGCTTCGCTGATGATACAGCTATTCTGCTATCAGAACTAACTGTTGATAAACTATACAATGAAAAAAATAAAATATTAAATACTGTTTATGCTTGGTTCTGTAAAAATAAATTAAAATTAAATCTTATGAAATCAAAATATATTTGTTTTACACAGCAACCATCAAATACATTAATACTAAATAACCTAATAGTACATTCTTTAAAATGTAATAAAACTACAAATACAGTTTGTGATCTTAAATGTATTATACTAGAAAAAGTACAGGAAATAAAATATTTAGGGATAATTATTGATTATAGATTTAAATGGGGAAGTCATATAAATTATTTAAATAACATGCTACGTAAATTCTTCTATTTCTTCAAAGATGCAAGATATGTATTTAATAAATACTATAAAAGAATAATTTTCTTATCACTAGTACAATCAATTTATACTTACGGGATATCAATTTGGGGTGGAGCCTCAAAATATATTTTAACAAAACTTATTGTCACTTTAAATGTTTTGTTCATCACACTTTGTTTCTTTTAAGAAATAATTAATCGCCAATTAAATAAATTATTGAAACAAAATAAGTTTACTTAAATACAATAAACTTAGGATTTCTTCATGATATCACATCTTTATAGTGCTTAAAGATTTTATATTTTTTTACTTAGCCATTTTTACAAGTAGTAGGTTTTTGTTGTGATAATATTATGTAAGTTTGTTAGGCTTCGTATTACATGTAAAATAATTGAAAAAAAAACTTTTAAAATCAGAAAACGTGTGTGTTTATAGTGTGTAGTCAAATAGTTTTAAGAAGTAAAATATTATGGACTTAATCAAAAAGTAAAGAAAATTATATGTATAAAATAGGTACAGAATAGGTTAAAAATCCAAACAAACTAAAAGCCCGAAATATTGGTTAAAATATTATTACAATAATATAAGTTATAACAATAAGTGTGAATAACAATACGATTGTCTCAGGAAAAATAAAAGCACTCGAAATAAGAATATAAGAACGATGGACGTAGTCGCTGGCTAGTAATAACTAATAAACATATGGGAGGATTTCGATTTGTTTGGTCTCGATGACGGAAGTAATCAAAATCTCGTTCACTTTTAATTCAGTGTTCCACTTCTCTCGTGGTATTTGCACAAAATTAAAAATGGCTACAATCCTCCCGAAAATTGGTTTCATCAACGACAAGCAAATTAACGAATTGATACAAAATGTATCGGATGAAGTCATCGACGAAAGCGTTATCGAGACGTCAGACGTCATAGACGCATTCATCAATGAGATGTTAGACGACGTCATCGACGAGATTGTGACCTCCGATGATAAGTATCTCCAGGACGAAAGCGATATGGAGACGTCGGACGTCATAGACGCATTCATCAATGAGATGTTAGACGACGTCATCGACGAGATTTTGACCTCCGACGACGCACCATCGACAGAGTTGCAGCCGAAATGGACGTGGAAATGGGTCAAACGGGTTGTACGTGGAATCTGTTCCTTCCGAGGTTCAAGAAGTTGATACGGCCCTTGGCCGAAGACATCGGACAGGAGACGGCGACGTAGAGGATCGGGGGATACGGGAAAGAGCACGGATGGTGCCCGGCTTTTATTGACAACTGTCCAGTAGTTTTGGAGTATATCAGTTATGGACAGACATACATGTGTTGCGAACCAGATGTGGAGTTCAGTTGACAAGGTCAAATCAAATGAAGTAACAAGTAGTCGAATTAATTATTATTATAAATTTATTGACCTAAGGTTAGTGGTTAATACTTTTTAAGCACTCAGAGTAATGTTACAATTTAAGACAAATATCCCTAGCATGAATACTGTCAACTAGTCGTCACGCAGAAATAGTGTGTCTGGTCTCCCTGATGGGGAGCCTTTATATAGTAGATAACAGTCAGATTACATAGTCCTTTACAAGGTCCCACTTAAGTATTCGCTATGGCTCTTCTAGTACTTTAGAAACTAACTTTTCCTTGTGGCACTCGTTAATAGTAATTAATATATTGTGCCACGTACACCATGCGTAATACTGTAGTAATAATATTATATATTTGTGTGGTCCTAACCTTGGCTATTGCAACACATGCATTTTTACATATATAGAGTAAATAATAATAATAATAATAATAATTATTGACGTAGACTTATACCTACTTTGTAACGTAATTTGTCAAATAAAACAACAAAATGTTCGTGCCTAAAATTACCCATGTTTATAATATTCATTATATTGTATTGATACATCAGTAGAAAAACACTAAAAAAAAAATAGGTACAATATATTTTTGTAATCGTTTAAATATTGATTTATGACAACATATATCAAATTGAACATTTAGAAATGATTTTGTAGTTAAAAATTTGTAAAATGTTCAACTTTCATACCTAAAACTGGGTTAATAGAAACTGTGGGGTAAATAGAAACAAAATCAGTGTTTTTCTCAAAGTCCCCACAATCAAGTTTTGAATATATCAATATATTTAATTCACATAATCGATTGTCAACTATAGTGCGGTTTTCAAATAATCAAGGATCATTATTTCATTGTTCCTCCATGATGGCCAAACATTAATAATAAAAAAGTGAATTTTTATCAAATTTTGTTTCTATTCACCTCTTGGTTCGTTGAATAAAAACATACATGTAAATTGTAAATACTATACATGTTTCTATTGACCCTATTTTCTAAAAATCAGAAATTGAGCATTTAAAAAATTATAAAAAAAAATCTGTTAATTAAACAAATATTTTGACTGAACATAAGTTAAAGTAGGTACTTAAAAAGACCAGTATTTTGATGTATTGATCATCTATAAAGTACAAATAGAAAAGTTTGTATGATACTTCAAAGTTAAAAAGTGTTTCTATTCACACTGTTTTACAATAGCTAAAGATTTAAATTTTTTAAAAAATTGTTCCACTTAAGTATTGGAAAGTGGGTAGTTCCGCACGAGAAGCAAAACCGTATTATAAGGTTTTCAGAACATTGAGTAAAGAAAGAAAATAAATTATTGATGTCCATGACCATTGGCGTACGCAGGGGGGGGATAACGGGCTGAAGCCCCCTCCCCCATCACTCGTATTATTATTACTATACAAAAAATTTATTTATCAAGTTTCAACTGTCAACTATAATAATAGCAATACGTAAATTTCATATAAGTCTTACCAAAATGAATTCATTTTTGAAAAAAACATTGTATTTGCATACCAATTTTCCTAAAATTATCTGTAGTTTTTCGGTAAAAACATAAGCTACTTGTACGAAAGACCGTGTATTAAATTGTCTAGCCTTAGCTATAAACTTAAACATACTATAAAACTTTTATATTATTGTATTATATATAATCATTTATTCCCATACATGACACATATATACAGCATTCATACATAAATAGGTACTTTCATATTATATACACCATCACACACATCTAATCTTGTTATACAACTTACATATCAATAAAAGACACTTCGTTACATATAGACACACTCACACATGAAATACATACTTTAATACTTAGATCTACCTATATTTTATTCAGCTCAGAGGATTACTCGACAACATACATAAAATTATATATTTATTTAACTAGTAGGTATATACAGATTAAGGAGAATAGAAGATATCGATTCTGAGGGTCTTAGACGTCGTCTTCGAGATAGTTTGATCACTAAATGCAAAAATAAAATAAAATTGACTTCACCGTTGATACAGTACATTTCATGTTAGAAATAATACATTTATTTTATTAAATTTGAATTAAACACAAATATGCTTATGCATTTTTACTTTTCATTCATAAAATATTTTCGATATATAATTTATTTGATACCTAATTTCTTAAACATATATTAATTATTATTATATATTAACAGTTGATACATAAAATATATCACAACGTAGCCATGCATACTGATACAACGCTACGTAGAATTTATGCTGAAATCTAAAAATGTACTCATCAATGTGAATATACGTCAAAATGTACTAATTTCGATAAAAACATAGCTGTCTGTGTGTAAATACAAAAATCTTGCTAAAATAAGTAAAAATATCATAATTTTAATAAAGCATATGGAAACATTACAATATTTTAGTGAAAAATAGGGGAAAAATATCATAATTGCATTAAAAACATGTAATATTATAAAAAATATCATATCCCTACCTAATTACCATCAAAGGCATATATACAGTTTAGTTATTAAGTATACACTTGATAATATAATTATAAGTTCATATAATACTATTGATATAATATTATATGAACTTTTTTGATTGCTTCATTTTCAGTAGATAAATCCATGTACTATTTACACATATTTATCACACAATTCTAATACAGCTTAAAGTCTAGAATATCATATTAAGAATTCTTAAAAGCATTACATGAAAAACCGTATTTATTTCAAAGATGAAACAAATTCATATTTAAATTCCATGGTATTAATAATAAAAAGCATACTATTATATAGTTGTCTTCATCACATATTAGCAAAAACAAAATAAAATGTAGGTAAGTACGTTAAACGGTGATAATTTTCCACTTAATGATTGCATATATAGAAAACCATAAATATTAAAATTACTTTTAATGCATATCTTATACACATAGCCCAGCATTTATTTTGTACAACATTATAGAAATGTATTATTTGTACAGTTATATACTACATGAATGCTTATTACTTATACTTTTCATGTATTATTCCATATACTTTGTAAAATAATGATGAAGTCACTTGTATATTGCCATCACAAGCTTGGGAATATATTTGAAAAAATCATGATTTTTCAGGAAAATCGGTAAAAATATGATAATTTCTCCCAAATTATGATAATATTATAATTTTGATAAAATCTTATACAAATATAATTTCTATGTCAAGATCATGTCTAAAATATTGAAATTCTTAATAATAACATATAACTATAGTTTGTAAATCAATCCATCAATCATATCGCATTAGATATTAAATGCAACTTTACACTATAACAGAATATTTCAGTTCTAAATAGTCGACTTACTTCTTTTCAATCTACACTATAATATGATATTATATCTAGTTTTATGACTCACACATTATATTATGTTTAAACATGTACACATATTTTCATAAGTTCAATAAAAATGTGTTCAATTGTAATATTATCATAATCTCACTGTAAAATATATATATATATATAATATTATATATACTAATATATTTTACCTTTAAAAACCGGTACACTCGTAGATACCTTTGCTAGAAGTTATTATTTTTGTTTAAATATCATAAAAACTGTATTCATAGAGCCACACTCATCAGCTATATAATATAACACCCAACATTTTCACTGATTTTCATCACTATACCTATCTCGAAATACACAAACCTATAACACGTCGGTTAAGAATGATTTTTAGATTAAATATAAGATCACTATATTTTTTTTTTTTTGATTTTCCATCAAAGTAACATAGAAATCGTATATTTGTCTCCAATTATCGTTAAATACATGTGAGTATTTATGCTGAACCATACCCTATCGCTTATATTATAATAAATCATATGATAGGTGGGTAGGTACAAATATTTTATCTTATATGCATCACTTAACACTCATTTACACAGAATACAGGGAATTTATTTTTATGTTTTTAGACTAGATATATAATTATTTTATACACTATTGTATTTACTTTACAAATAATGTAAAACGCATGTTTATTACCATCACAAGTTAGGATATATCTTACCATATTGTATAGTAGATATAAAATAATAAATTAGTTATAGCTTGATTTTATATAGGCATAATATATTAATATGTATATTGCATATTCATACTATTACATTTCTATATTCGTTGTAAATATCACCATTTCGATCGTAAATATAAACATATTTACACTCCAATACATATAGACACTATACAGATCTTAATAAAACTATATTAATAAGACGATACTTAAATATTAAAAACCTATACAAAAATGTAAACCTAATTTCAGCAGTCTGCATTGCTGATATAAATAATATACCTAGCTTTTATTGTATTCGACTTAACTCTAATTAAATATTAATTGAAGGGTATACAGTTTTGTATAATAATATCATATTTTCAATGAAAATATATACAAACTTCATATTCATATTAAAAATCAGCAGGTTTCAAATAAAAATCATATTAGATGTAAACAATATGATGATAAATACGAGTATTATATTTTTTAGCCGTCATAAATATAATCATTTCGATCGTAAATATCAGCATATTAATCGTAAATATAAACATATTTGTTTCTCGACACATATGGGTACTATACAGGTCTTGATAAAAATATGAGACAAAAAGTAAATACCTATTAAAAATCTCACAAAAATTTAAATTTCAACAGTCTACAAAACATATATAAAATATAAATATAAGTTTTACTGTTTCGACTTTAATCTAAATAATTAATACACAAATTTTATTTGTATAATAATATCATATTTTCACTGAAAATATATACAAGCTTCAT